GCGGTGACGGCGGCGTCGGAGCCGAGCCGCTGCGAGTACCTGCTGGAGCTGGAGACACCTGCGGCCTGCAGGGAGCCCGAAACACCTGGGCACGAGGAGCACGACGAGCTCTGAGCCCCAAAATATCCCCAAAATATCCCAAATTATCCCCAAAAAATATCCCAAAATATCCCCAAATCCCTGCAGGGAGCCCGACACACCTGGGCACGAGGAGCACGACGAGCTCTGAGCCCCAAAATGTCCCAAAATATCCCCAAAAAATATCCCAAAATATCCCCAAATTATCCCCAAAAACATCCCCAAAATATCCAAAGAAAATCCCCAAAATAACCCCAAAAATTTACCCAAAAGATCCCAAAAAAATCCCCCAAAAAACCCTGGAAAAAATCCCAATAAAAGCCAGAAAAAATCCCAAAATAACCTGGAAAAAAATCCCAAAATAACCCGGAAAAAATCCCCCAAAAAACCCAAAATAACTGAGAAAAAAATCCCAAAATAACCCAGAAAAAATCCCAAAAAACCCAGAAAAAAATCCTAAAAAACCCAAGAAAAAATCCCCCAAAAAATCAAAAAAGAAATCCCAAAAAACCCAGAAAAAATCCCAATAAAACCCAGAAAAAATCCCAATAAAAGCCAGAAAAAATCCCAATAAAACCCAGAAAAAATCCCAAAAAACCCTGGAAAAAATCCCAATAAAACCCAGAAAAAATCCCCAAAAACCCAAGAAAAAAATCCCCAAAAAACCCCAAAATAACCCATAAAAAAATCCCCAAAAAATCCAAAAAAAATCCCAAAAAACCCCATAAAAAATCCCCAAAAATCCCAAAAAAAATCCCGAAAATAAAACCAGCAAAAAGCCGTTTAAAAATCCAAGTGTGAGTTTTATTGGGGTCAGAGCTCGTCGCGCGGCGGCGCCGGGGCCGTCTCGGTGTCGCTGACGTAGCCGGGCTCCCCCGTGTAGTGAGTGGGGAACAGCAGCAGCGGCTCCGCCGAAAACGCCTCCAGATCCCGCCGGGAAAAGTAGCGGGAGTACTCGGGGCTGGGAAACGGGGAGAAACGGGGGGAAATGGGGAAAAATGGGGAAAAACGGGGTGAAAACGGGGAGAAATGGGGTGAAACGGGGTGAAAATGGGAGAAACGGGGTGAAAATGGGGAGAAACGGGGTGAAAACGGGGTGAAAATGGGAAAAAAATGGGGGGAAATGGGGAGAAATGGGAAAAAAATGGGGAGGAATGGGGAAAAATGGGGAGAAAATGGGAAAAAATGGGGAGAAATGGGGGAGAAATGGGAAAAAAATGGGAGGAAAAATGGGGGAAAAGTGGGTGAAGAAAATGGGGTGAAAATAAGGAAAGAACAGGAAAAACAGGGGAAAAGTGAGGGAAAATGGGAAAAACAGCAGCAACTCATCCCTGTCCCACATATCTCACATTCCCAATCCCATAAACCCCAAATATCCCATAAACCCCAAACCCCAAATCCCATAAATCCCGAATCCCGTTACCTGGGGTGTCTGTGGAACACGAGGGGCAGGAACTGATCCCTGTACCACACATCCCACAATCCCATAAACCCCAAACCCCATAAATCCCATAAATCCCTGATCCCCGATCCCATAAATCCCTGATCCCAAATATCCCATAAATCCCATAAATCCCATAAATCCCATAAATCCCATTACCTGGGGTGTCTGTCGAACATGAGGGGCAGGAACTCGTCCACGGGCACCATCTTCCCCAGGGGATCAGCACCCCAAACCCCA